CTGATATTTTCGCTAAGGACAGACTGAACAAGCTGCCTCCTGAATGACCTGGCATTGACCACCGTATTGGGACTAAACCTGGGTTCATCCTGAAAACATCGAAAATATATCCCCTCTCAGTCACTGAACGAACTGCTGTCAAAGCATTCATTGATGAAAACATACAGAAAGCATTTATCTCAGAGTCGAAATCACCGCAGGCTAGCGGATTCTTCTTTGTAGGAAAGAAAAGTGGAGACCTTTGATCTTGTCAGGATTATCGGTATATCAACAATTGGACGATCAAGAACACTTATCCGTTACCACTTCCTTTATCCCTCGTCGCACGGTTGCACGGGGCAAAGTACTTCACCAAGATGGATGTCCAATCTGGCTATAACAATATTCATATCCACCCTGATGATAGATGGAAGGCCGCGTTCACCACCAAATTCAGGCTCTATGAGCTGAATGTCATGTTCTTTGGCCTCTGTAATTCCCCAGCCATGTTCCAAGTGTACATGAACCGTGCCTTCCAGCAGGATATTAATGAAGGATGGTTAGTAATATACATGGACGACATCCTTATCTTTTCAAATGACCTCGATGAACATCATGAATGAACCCATCGCATCTTGACAAAGATACGAGCTGAGAAGCTCTTCCTGAAACCGGAGAAGTGTACCTTTGATGCACAAGAAGTTGAATACCTTGGTATGATTATCTATCCCGGATGCATCGCCATGGATATCGCTAAAATTGATGGAATCCGCAATTGGCCGACTCCCTCTATGGTTAAAGAAACCAGATCATTCCTCAGCTTTTGCAACTTCTATCAGAACTTTATTCCTCATTATTCCGACATCGCTCGACCCCTTATCAATCTAATGAAGAAAGATACTACATTCTCATGGTCTACTTCCTGCAACGACGTGTTTTTGAAGTTGAAAGAATGCTTTTTGAAGCAACTGGTTCTTCACAACCCTGACCCGTCGCGACAGTTCGCAGTCGCTACTGATGCATCCTTGGTTGCTACTGGAGCCGTCCTCCTTCAGACCGATGAAAATGGTGTTTATCATCCATGCAGTTATCTCTCCCAATCCCTGAACCCGGCAGAACAAAACTACCAGATCTTCGACCATGAATTACTTGCTGTCATCCGCGCACTTACGGAATGGTGTCACTACCTCGAAGGAAATCCCCATCCAGTTATTGTTTTCACTGATCACATGAACCTCCTCTATTTTTGCACCGCACAAAAGTTAACCCATCGTCAAGCCAGATGGCAATTGCTGCTATCCTGCTATGATATTGAACTCCATCACGTTGCTGGATCTAAACTTATTGCGCCCGATGCACTATCCCAATGTGCCGATCACATTCCTACTGAAACTGACAACACTGATTCCATGTTCGTGCAACTTCTTGATCAAGAATTAATGACCACCCTCGCAAACCCTGACCCCAACGACGATGATCCCATCTTCCAAGCTGCCTCCAATGCGCTGAACAGCCTGTGTCTCCCTCCCATAAAATCTGCCCTCTCTGATTGGACAATTAAGGATGATGTCCTATTCTATAAAGACCGTGCTTATGTACAACCAGCTGGTCGCTGCGCTGTTCTCAAATGAACCCATGATCATGCTATGGCCGGGCACCCTGGTCGTTTTAAAACTGAAGAACTGGTTAAACGAGATTTCTGGTGGCCCTCCATGGGAACCTATATCCGGAAATATGTTGAGGGTTGCGCCCCTTGTCAGCAAATGAAATCTGACACTCACCCTATGACACCCCCACTCGTCCCAATCCCTTCCTCTGTGTCCACTCCCTTTGCCCAGGTATCCGTTGACCTCATCACAGACCTTCCTCCCTGTAACGGCTTTGATTCTATCATGGTCGTGGTAGACCATGGGCTTACGAAGGGGGTAATTCTCATTCCTTGTATGAAAACCATCACTTCAGAAGGCGTAGTGAAGAATTTTTTCAAATACGTCTACCGTTGCTTTGGACTTCATGAGAAAGTAATCTCCGATCGTGGTCCGCAGTTCATCTCCAAGTTCTCTAAAGCCCTCACCAAGCTATTGAAATATGACATCACCACTTCTACCGCTTATCACCCGCAAACAGACAGTCAGATGGAACATCTAAATTAAGAACTAGAAATCTATCTTCGTATCTATTGCCGTAGCAACCCAGAAGATTGGGTCAAACACATCCCCATGTCCGAATTCGTTCACAACCACCAGAAACATGATTCTCGGAACACCTCCCCATTCTTCCTTATGATGGGATATGAGCTGCGAGCTCTCCCTCATGTACTCCCCGATTCCACTGTCCCCACAGCAGAAGAACAACTCCGCCTTCTTCAGAAGATACATGAAGAGGCTATCTCTTGTCACAACCTTGCAATGCAACGCATGACCAAGCGATCACACAGAAAGAAGTATCAACCATGGAAAATCGGAGATAAGGTTTGGCTATCAGGAAAAAACCTCATCACGCAGTTACCATCACGGAAACTCACCCCAAAACGATACAGCCCCTTTACCATCACTGCGGTATTATCTCCAATCACGTCCACACTCTAGTTACCCGCGCAATGGAAGGTTCACCCCACATTCCATGCTTCTGAACTATCATCCTATCATGAAACAGAGATCCATGGCCCTAATTTCCATGACCCCCCACCTGACATCATTGATAACAAAGAAGAGTATGAAGTCGAAGCAATCTTATCACACAAAGGCACGGGTAAACAAAGACGCTATCTCGTATATTGGAAAGGATATTCTTCCACTAGTAATGAATGGATCCCTGAATGAAACCTTGATAATGCCGCCACCATCCTCATTGCCTATAAGAAAGCTCATTGGTTATAAGAGAACCCCTCAGTCAAATATGTCTTCCCCAATCCAAACCATCAACATCTGCCTCCTACAACTCCATGCACTCGTCAACACTATAGATACCATGACCAATAACCTTGCCTCTCCATCTGTGACATCCACTATGCTTGCCAACGATTCAGATTCTTCCAACTACTTCACCATCATTGATGACATTGAAACCAACACATTGTTTGAATCTGCTCTTCTTTCTGAGCAATACACTATTGAGATAGACCGTCTCCTCGCTGAATGAGGAGCTCTCTCTAGCACACTCCTCATCAATATCATCCGTGCCGCCAGTCTCGTTAAACGCACCTCTGACCTCCTGGACAATGAATGTCTCAAAACTATCTTCCGCCACCTTCAAATACATATTCGTAACACTGCAGTGCACCTTATGCCTGCCTCTACTAAGAAAATCGTTAGAGAAGCTATCCATATTGTTACTGAATGAATCGCCACCAACCCCGTTGCTAGACCCCCATCTCCCCACGTTGCAATCCCCATCCCACCTCCGGTTGAGACAACTCCCGTTAAGCATACACCTAACATTCTCACTCCTCCTGCTGTACCTCTCGTACCAGCTGTTGCTTCACTTACCCCAGTGGCAACTACCACCTGTATATACCCCATTTGTCGATGATCTTCCAAAACTGTCAAGCGAGAAATCTTCATCTCCCCTGCTACCCGTAACCGTGTCCTACATTCCAAAACCCCATCTCCACCGCCACAATCATCCTCCATCACTATCATGAAAACTGAGAACTGCAATAACTTTATTTGTTGAAACTGTGGTCTTACTGGTCATCGCCACAAGAACTGCACTACATACCATTGTCGTGTATGCTGCAACCTTGCACCAGGACATTTATCGGTCTTTTGCAAAGACCTTCATGGAGAGAAAGTAATCCCCCTAGTCTGGACGGATACAGGCTTTTATGACGCACTTTCCCAGTCAGAAGCTGATAAAGACGCCACCCTAGAGCAAATCTCCATCGAAGAAGACGAGAAGCTGTTCTCCCAATGTGCAGGAGATTGCGACAACTATGATGCCTATGATAACTTTGATTGTTGAAGTTGGCGACTCCAATGATAAAAACGGGATAATGTTACAGTCGAAGTACGCCCCTATTCATTTTCTCTCATCTTTACTTACTTGTATTACGTCACGAGCCACATTGCACTGCCGCTAGACTTATCTTTCCTTCTTATCTCATAGTTGATTCTGGTTCTTTGTATTACATCATGATCGCTATCAAGCTGTCGCTAGGTGACCTATTCTTGGTATCTCTGACTCGTTCTTATCTCTGACTCGTTCTGACTTGTATACGCTTGCCCTAAAGTCATTCTCATTCTCTATATAAACCTGTCTTTGTACTATGTAGTTCTTTACTTTAATCTTACTAGGTTTTACCTGGAACTTGCTTTTGCTTAAGACCCCCAATCTTAAGTTGTCTGAACTTGATTCAAGTTGAGGACACTCTCCTTGACTTGTCTTACGAACTTCTACATACGTGGAAGTCTTGAACCGATTCTAGCCGATAGCGCTTATCGTGTTGCTATAATCAGAACTATCCTAGTTCGTAACAGTATATGTTGCTGGTTTCCATGCATCATGATGATGGTCAGCAGTCGTTGTAGTACTAGTATTCCACAGGCAAGTTACAAAAGTGGCTAAGTGAGTTTTCCAGATTCTGGTCTATTGATATGAAAATAGCTGTAATATTTGAAATTTTACATCTGCTTTGATGACAACCTGAATATTAAGTATCATCTTCACATTTCACACGACATTCAAACTTGTCTTAAATATTGCAAACCCCGATGTGTCATTCTATGTATGTTCTTGTGCCTCAAACTTACTTAGAATATAATTATGATTCTTGTGCGAAGCTTTTCACTCTTGTGTGGGAAAACAAGTGACAAAAAAGGAGATTAAGGAATGTGTGAATTTACTGATGCCCTCAGACTCGGAGGTTCATCTCAGTCTTGATCAAGGTAGTTACCACGACAGAACCAAAATATGTTTCTCTTGGACTGCGCAGGTTCGAAATCTGCTGAATGTGGTTTTTTGCTATCGGAACACACTTTGACGTTCACTCATGGATGGTTTCCTCGAAAGTTCACCTCAACTTTGTCCTGGCAAAAGTGGTCACCGCAACAGAGTCAAAATCTGTTCCTCTTCGACTGCGTAGGTTCGAAACCTGCCAATGAAAAGGTTGTTTTTACTCCAAAGCACAAGTTTCGGGAACATGGGGAGGATATATGGTGTCTTCTTGCACCACATCATGAGTGCTTCATGAGACGGCATGATGCAGAAGTGGCACAATATTGTGCCACAGAAAGTCAATGCGGTTGGAACACTCTTCACGATTCAAGTTCACTCATAGATGGTTTCCTGTGTGGTCCATCTCAACTGGGCTTAGCCAAGTGGTTGTTAACAGAGTCAAAACCTGTTCCTCTCGGACTGCGCAGGTTTGAAACCCGCACACGACAAAGTTTTTTGTCTATCAGAACAGCCTCGAAGATTCACTTATGGATGCATCGATGATTCCTCACGTGTTCAAATCTGGATTCCGAACCGATCTTACTAGCCAAGTAGTTCAAACCACAACGGACTCGAAATCTATTTCTCTTGGACTGTGCAGGGTCGAAACCTGCAGACGACATTTTTTTAATAGGAACATCCCTTGACATTCTTTATGGATGATTTCCTCGAGGTTCATCTTATTAGTCTTACGCTTGTCCAGGTATACTCAACTCCGGCACATAGAGCACGTTCAAATTTAAAACCCGCCGCGGAGGATATTCGATCTGCTGTCGAGTTTTGGCTATACGTCCTCATCCTCAATACCAAGGGCATAAGTGACCTCCTGCTTCCACGCAAAGTATGTATTCGGACCTGTCAATTCTGGGATGTGGTTGAGCTTTCCCATGTCAAAGAAAGACGGCGAAACATCTAAGAGAAGATTACAGCGAGTCGCTGAAACAAGGGCGCATGTTGGTATGCATAGCCTGATAGGATTTCAATCGCAACTGATAACCTGTTAGAAGCTCGACACGAAACACGCTCAGTGGTCGGAGACAACATTAGTACCTAGACGCAAAACACGCTAGAGAACATAAAGTAAGAGACGGTGGGACGACGAGGAACTAGGAACCATACCTCAGTGGTTGGAGACAATGGCTGTCAGAGGCATGCGGAGAAATTATATATGCAAGTGCACGTGATAAGTAGGAAAAGGAAAACGCCATGGCCCCTGGGCGATGACGACGATAACGAAAATTCAACATTGCAACAACTTGAATAACACGCTGCAATCGCCTATCCATCTATATCAGGTTACGGCCCTAAATGCAAGTTCCTAGCAACAAGATCCGCAGTCCGATTGCAATAGGATAAGCACCGGCAGATAATCTGGGTGACAGTCAACATCAGTTCGCAATCAGGATCCCATACTTTTGCTCAGTGACAAGATACCAAAGATAGTGCTCGTATCAAGATGCGTTTCACACCATTGATGAGCAAGAACACTGTATGTTTATGTTATAGCGCATACAATGAATCGGAATCGCACGGACGTTTATGACCTTTCAGAGAGTTAGCTTGAGACTTTGCAAAATGAGTCTAAATTTTACAAAGTTTCGACCTAACTCTCTGAAATCGGAGATGACAAGGAATGGACATTGAACATACATGATGATGTGATAGGATGTATATTCAGAATGATTTCTTGCTGTGCTTGCTTCTCTACGTGTTCGAACTTCCAACGTGCGGGCTTTCATCTGCGCAACTTGGAGTCGATTGCTTTGCATGGCCACTGAGGTTGGTGGATCTCAAAATATCAAAATAACGCACCACTGCCCACACAAATGAAGTTTCCCTCGCAACCCCATCCTAGATAGCGCCAATCTTGAAATGCCTCGCAAGGCTGCCGTGGGGTGGAGAGGGTCTAGTAATGCCTTGTGAGGCGAGCATGGGCATCTTGGCCAGGCGATGATGCATCGATGTGATGAACAAATGGTGTCGCGCCTCAGAAGGCCTCACGGGGACCTTACCAGATTTGGGCAATTTTCCTGATGCGAAGCCAACTGTTGAACTTGGTGCGCAATACATTATTAATTTTGAAGGCATTGACCCAAGTAGTTTCCCCCAGGCATGTACTATTTGACCAACGTTATGACATTCCGAATGCCAAAACAAAGCTATTTTCGCTAGACTCATCATTCCAAGGTACCCTCTTATCATACTCATTACTAGACACGAGACACATGCTCACGATACCACGCGTACAGGTCGGGTGGCGTCGTCTTGCTTGAACGCATGTTTGTTTTTATTTTGAATCTGCAGAAAACACCGCATTGGAGTGACCTCGCTCCGCAAGGTGATGCATTGGCCCATGTGATTTACCCCCGGCATGTACTATTTGACCAACGTTATGCCATTTCAAATGCCAAAACAGAGCTATTTTCGCTAGACTGATAATTCAGAGGTACCCTCTTATCTCACTACTAGACGCGAGACACATGCTCACGATACCACGCGTACAGGCCCGTACACTGGGGCCACAGAGATGGCCGTATCGAACAACTGGATTTCCAATTACTAGAATAGTCGCTTATCTGCGTTTGAGGTAAATACTTATAGTCGGCGGCTGAGCGGTGAAACTTCTCGCTTCTCTTGCAGTACTGTCTTATCAGTTACGATGAGTCTGACCGCTGCAGGGGCGATCAGCGAGCACACTGTGCCCAGCGAGAAAGCTCTTAGCACTGATGACAAATCCTTCGATGGGAAAGGCGACGTTGAAACTGCAACAGTTGATGCTGACTCGGACAGCGAGGAAGGCGTGCTCTCCAATGAACGTGAAATTGCTACGCACGTCATCTCGGTGGACGACGACCCTTCTCTGAACCCGTGGACATTCCGTGCATTCTTTATCGGTCTTGGCCTCTCAACCTTTGGCGGAGTACTCGGTGAGCTTCCCTGGGTTCGTTTTCAGCCAGTATGATACTCATTAATGTCAACTTGTAGCGGAAATCTATTATTTCAAGCCTGTACGTGGTAGAGCAAGCATGACGACTTTGTGTGCTCATATCATTGCCGCAGCAAACGGTTTTAGTGTCATTAATGTTCCTCGCGGTTGTTTCTTATATCCTGGGCATCTTCATGGAGACCTTTATTCCTCGTCGTGGACTCCTGCGCTATCTGAACCCCGTAAACCAATTTACCCACGTCCGTTGCTTTATTCTAAGTATCTTCCGCAGGGGCCATTCAACAAGAAAGAAAATGCTTTCGTTGTGATCATGGCAAGCGCCTCTGCCAACTCCGCCTTAGGTACCGAAGTTCTTGCTGTCCAGCGGTCAGTGGGCATTATTCATATCAATGAAATTTACTGATTTTTGTCTTTGTTGAAGATTGTATTACAATATCACGCCCAATGCCGGTGCCTCAGTGTTCCTACTCTTCTCTTCTCAACTTCTTGGGTACGAGAATTTTTGTTGAAGTTCCAGCGGACGCTGACAAAGTTCTCAGTTATGGAATTGGTGGCATGATGAGAGGTATGTCCACAATCGAGTCTGTTGTTGAACCCGGTGTTCACATACTTCTACCAGGCATCCTGTTATATCCATCAAAGATGTTATACCCCGGTGTGCTACCATTGCTGTCCATGTTCGATGCTCTCTACGAGGGCGGAATGACAGCACGGAAAAAGCTCAGAGTCTTTTACATTGTGTTTACTGCGTAAGTCCCTCGATTAAGACCGGCAATGATCAAACATGCTGATCGACTCAGTATCTTTATTTGGGAGCTTTTCCCAGAATGGATCTTTCCGCTTCTGACCGGGTTGTCAATTATGTGTCTTGCAGCTCCAAACAATGCTGCCGTCTCGCGAGTGTTTGGTGGTACAAACGGCAACGAGGGTCTAGGGCTCCTGTCTATCTGCTTTGACTGGCAAGTAAGTGTGAATACGAACTTCGAAGTGGATCGCGTTACTGACTGGATCTGCGACAGTATATTTCTGGCGGGGTGAACCCTATGACTATTCCGCTGAAAGCACAGGTTTGACCTCTTCTCAATTCCGCGGGCCAGGAGCCTTACATATTTTTGAACAGTTCTCGAATTTACTGGGCTACCTCCTTTGCATGTGCGACCACTCCGCTCTGATTCGAGACCTTGCATTGACTTATGTCTAGGGTTGTGTTTGTGGCTGTATATTACAACAACATCTGGAAAGCCCAGAACTTCCCATTCGTTAGTCTACATTCATGTGCAACGGCAGAACATTGACGCCAACTCCCCACAGCTTTCTCAACTCTTGTTCTATGAAAACGGAACACAGTACAATCAAACACTCATTCTCAATTCCAACTATCAAGTCGATCCCACACTGCTTGCTGAGCAAGGAATACCTTACTATTCCAGCACTTGGATAGTCAACTTGCTTTCCTCAAATTTGGCAAGTTCACCAAATGTTGGTGAGACTCTGCGGACTGACGGTTTGAAATCATAGGGTTTGGCGGCCACGTTTACTCATCTTCTCCTCTGGAACCGGGATGATATGCGCTCTGCGTGGAGTTGGATGACTCCGTCGGGCATCAAAAAATTATGGGCGAATTTTGACTGGAAGTTCTGGCAATCCGACGGAATGCGGAAGCAAGACGTTGATGATGAAGATATCGATCCCCACTACAAGCAGATGCTGAAGGTGAGTTTTGCATTTCTCTGTATTCAGCTTACCAACATGAATATTTTTGTAATAGTACCCCGATGCTCCCAATAGCTGGTACTTCGTCGTCTTTCTCCTGTCCTTCGTTGTTGCCCTGGTCGTTTTATACAAGACCGATTCGACTTTGCCATGGTGAGTAGCTGTGATTGGAAATATGGTCCGGGCTGATGAACGTTGAAGGTGGGGTTTCCTTATCTCGCTCTTGCTGGCGACGATTTCTATTCTATTCTTCTGTGCACTCGCCGCGATTACAGGATTGATGTTCGCCATCCAGCCGTATGTGCTTGAATTCAATTTTGATCTTCGATATTTCAATTTGCATTCAGGTTTGTCCAGATGATTGGTGGTTACCTTCACAAGGGGTTGCCAGGTGATTGCCTTGCTCGTCGTTGCTTTCTAATATGCTTTGATTGACGAATACGACAGTGGCAAATATGTACTTCGTTCTATACGGATCCAGTATGCGTCAGCCTTGCGTTCCAAAAACA